GGTATGTGTCATGGTATATGAGCACATGCGAGTATATACGGGGTCGTCTAAAGCTACGGTGGTGGTCTATTACTATGGCTAGTATTTAATTTAAATATATAAAAAGAAGATAAACAAACTAGGATTTAAATGGACACCAAATAATGGGGTGAATGGTAGAAATAGGTAGATCTTAATTTTATAAATTTTTTATAAGATTTTGGAGATACTGTCAAAGATTAAAAGAAAGATAGTATGTTGGAATATAGTTTTGAGAATTATTTCGGGAATTGAAATGGATTGAAAATATTTGGGTAGGATGTACCTAGTTCATTTAGATTTTCAAAGATTAAAAGAAAGATAGTATGCTTGGAATATAGTTTTGAGAATTATTTCTAGGAATTGGAATGATGGAAATGGATTGAAAATATTTGGGTAGGATCTGGAGTGTACCGGAGTTCATTTAGAGTGGCCGGTGCTCTCGGGACTCTGGCGTAGCCCCTAGGGCAGCTAGTGGTGGCAACGGGCGCGTGGAGCGGCGGTGGCGGCTTGCTAGAGTGGATGCGGTTTTTCATGTAAGCGTTTAGGGCATGCGAGGGAAAATGGATTTCTAACTAGCGGGAGCTAGCGTTGCGGCTAAGATCCTAGGGTGGGGCTTCACTTTGCCAAGGTAACACAGAGGGAGAGAAGAGGCTAGGGCTACGAAATCAATGGGAGAAGAGCTCACGGAGCTTAGCTGCCACTCCAATTGGCCAGAGACGAAGTAGAAAGGAGGATTTGGATCTTGGCTCCCATGGCGAGGGCGACGCACCCGGTTGGGGAAGAAATGAACAGGGCTCGGAGGGAAGAGGGAAGAGAGGAGGTGAGGGGGAGATGGCATGTTGCAAGCCTAAGACGGCTGGTGGAGGTGAGGGATGAGTAAGAGAGATGGGGCCTATTTATAGGTGGCTGACACATGGGAGCGCTAAGCTTCTTCACGCTTGGGTCCAAGCTTCACTTCTCAGTAGCGAAATACAGCGAGAGTGGCCATAAGCGGGCGGCGTGTGTCGATGAGTTTTGTGGAGAGGATAAGGATGGCGCGGAAAGAGACAAGGGAGAGAGATGGTTCATAGGCGGGACCCGTCCTAACCTATGCGGGCATGGGCAAGGCAGTGGCGAGATGGTGGGGGTAGGCGATGGGAGCGACATGGAACGATGATGACATGTGGGGCCCATGTCCCGATGTGGACGTGTTTGGTTGGGCCGGCCCATTCAAGCGAGAGGAAGTGAGGAGGAGTGGGAGGATTGCGAAGGAAGGAGGAGGAAGAGGATTGAGCCCGTGAAGTCTTTCCCATTTATGAAATGCTTTTCTTTTTTCCTAGAAATTCAAACTAGGGTTTTTAATGGTTTAGAATTGGATTTCAAGATGGGTTTGGAATGTGGTACACTAGTAAATTTCCAAGAAAAGCCAAGGAGGTCATTTGGAATGGGGAAGGTTATGGTAAAATACCAATGGGGATTATTTGATGCCAAAGTAAATCCTAGGGCACATGCATAAATTCACACATGTGATCACCCAAATATTTCAAGCAAAAGCAATCAAGCAAGCACTCAAGCTTTCTAATCTAAGTGCATATGGTGAGTTTTGATGCAGGGTTTTTGGAATACATTTCTTTTTGAAAATGGTTTTGCGGAAAATAAGCTAAGAAAGTTTTAATTTGTTGTAAAAATTTAAAAATTATAATGCAAAAACACTGGTGTTACATCAGCCTATGAGGCCCACCGGTCAGCCTCCGCTTCGAATGTCAGTTCTCCATCGCCTCCTAGATTGCATCTACGCCGTCCTTTTAAGTCGGTTTGATCCGAGGGTCCAGAATTGACATTACCCCCTATATATATGGCCCTGTATCCCCCTCCGACAGAGCCATCCCTGAAACCCTAATTCATATCTTTAGGATCAGAGCCAACAATCAAGAGAAGATTAGTCCTCCATAGGATCTAGTCTTATAAATAGAAATAGTGAGATAGAGAGTGAGGAAGAGTTTAGAGGAAGTGTCGGCCTGTCGGTACTCTCTCTATGGCTTGTACCTTGGCGGATCCAAGTTCTATCTGAGCTTGCCTCTGAGATTTCTCTGGTAATCAACTTCTGATTCAAGTAAACATCTTATTTATATTGTTCATCAGGATCGTGACTCTTTTGAGTGCTTTATTCTCTTTCTAGGGGGAGTAAAGTATTAATCGTAAGTGTAAGCGTGGTGCTTAGACTTGGGTTAATCGTGGATGCACCATGCATTCGGATCAGTGGTAGCTCGCGATGGTGACTCTTATAGCCTCATTGAATCCTTTATAGTCCACCTCCCGTTTGTAGGCCAAGTAGGACCCGGTTACGAAGAAAAGCATCCTCTGCTAGTGTCTCTCCCTAATAATGTCCCTCAGTTAAATAGTGGAAGACATAGCTTACCGAAATCAGAACAAGAGAACCTTAGTTATATTCTCTACGCTCCTATTTATCCTTAGCCTTGTTGATACTCCTGGTTAAGTTAGATTATAGTTAATCTCACATGTTTCCTTGTGGATACGATACTTGGAATACTTTCGGGTGAAAGCTACAGCGGTATCCGTGCGCTTGCGAATTTATCTGTGTGCGTTAATAAATACCAACAGCAGCATCACTGGAGTAGGGTTTAGCGCTCCACCGAGCCCGAACCAGTATAAATCCTTGTGTCTCGTGATACTATCATCTGGATCCATCTACACGATCACGTTGCTAGGCATTGCCGAAGCTAAATAATCCGACACTAGGTTTAATCAATTAGCCAAAACCAAACTAGGGCTTTCAGCAGCCCGTACCGCAACCACATGGCATGGAGGCCCGCGCTGGGATGAAGCAGGTGGCTGCAACAGCTACAAGGATACTACTTAAATGCTGGTGCTTATTGTGAACAAATCTATCATCGTAGTCATGTACAAAAATTCATGATCCCGGTGGAACGTCTGGACATATATTTAGTTATAGCTAATTTTCTACATCTATCCTAGTGCAAGAAAAACAAGAGACGAGGTTGTTCAGGCATCCTTCTCCCGTTCTCCCCCCTTGGGGACCTGCCGAAAAGAGGAACAGTTTGAACCCAGCTCCGTGACCCACCGACCTACGCAGCTTCATGAGACACGTGTTGACACTCAAATTTGTCCTAATACATAATGTATGTGTTGCTCATCTTGGTTGTCCGAGTGCATATTTCACTCAGCTCGTTTAGATGCATAGCATTATAGTGAATCACTTAATAAAGAGTCACTGTAATCTCATAAATTAACATTGTAATTATCTTAAGTCAAAGTGACCATAGAATTAAGTTACTTTGTGGCTAGCTATATATAGAACAGTATTCATTGGTCTCTTTTGAGGAGGACCTTGTGCATTTATGAACCAAGTTGCTCAGGATCAAGTTGGAAATAGAAGATGAGCGATTCGAGCTTATGTTCGATTGCATCAAGTTGGAATTTATAAAGGACCATTCACAGTCAAAGGATGACGTGACCTGATCTGCTGTTCAAGGAATATACACTACGTACTGAATGCTTAAATCGTTCTACGACAATTCCTGCACGTTTGGGATGCTCTGTTGTTCATATGACTATTGGAGAAGCCACGTACATAATATGAAGGCAGCCAAACAAGAACCTGAGAAAACTCGGCAAACGATCCATGAGATGTGGAGAAGTGAGAGAACATATAATATACGGTAGAATAATATCATGGCCAATTTTCTACGTCTACCCTAGTGCAAGAAAAAGCAAGAGGAGAGTTGGGTCAGGCATCCTTCTCCCACTTTGGAGACTTGCCGAAAAGAGGAACAGTGTTCGAACCCAGCTGCGTGACCAGCTAACCGGCGCAGCTTCAGCGCCACGGATCTCTCCCGGTTCTTCATATCCTTCCCCTAATCACGCGGCACGGATTCACGCCTGGTCACGGAACATAACAGACCACCCTCCGCCGATCGATCCTCCTCCAGCTCTGGTCGCTGTCCTCACTGGCTCCGGCGGCTATCCCTTGGCATCCAAGGATACGTCTGGAAACCCTGCAAAAATTGTGATCCGCAACAGGGCCACTTGGTGTCGCCTCTGACCTTTTGCTCCGGGGGCAGCTGGAATTCAACCACTCCTGATTTGAACACATTATCTGGGGGTGGTAGGTGAAGCATGTCCAGCCAACTCCAAGGCCCGGTGAAAATGGCATGTTTGTACTGTGTGTGTGCCCCTCGGTATTGGAAAGTGAAATGTAGAATTTCTTACTAGACACATGTGTGCCTTTTTTCCCTTGAGTAAATCGCACTTAATTCATGTCCATTAATTTTAGCGTAAATCAGGTTCCGGCTATTTCTTCCTCCTTTTTCTCTGGAAAAGCAAAAGTTGGATGGATCAATTATGTTTAACTATATATTGGCCGTTCAAGTCAATAAGAAATCAATGCAATGCAGTGAAACGGCTTTACTGCCGTACCAAATATTTGATATTTCTATTCCAAATATAATGGTGTACGTACGTAGTACATTCGGCGTGTTAACTAAGTCAGGAAAAAGGCTATGTAAGAGGGTGGTCAATAATGTGACATATAAACAGACGAGCGGTTGACTTCAGCTACACTCCGAAGCTACTACACTATAGCAGCTAGTAGCCGTGTTCCGCACGGGCCCCCGCCGGCAGTGTTGCCTTGAGGCGACCTCGTGCTCGATCAATAACCATCCAATGCACCAAACAAAGCATGCATACAGTACTGAACTCAGCACAAACATTTGAACTAGGCGCACGCATAGCCAAAAAGTTCTAGAGAAGCGTACAGGCTAATCATCTCATGCCTGCACACTTGCAACCATATCTACTATCCTACTATATATATAGGAACCTCTCTGGGGCATTACTACCACCTCAAACGCAGTGATCCATCCAACATTTAGCCAACAAAGGATCATCGGAGGCTCGGGCTCAAGTACTTAATTGTTCTTAGCTTGCTTCACTCTCACTGTAGGATCGGAACAGCAACAATGGCTACCTCCTATCTGCTGCCTTGCTATGTCGTCATCACTGTGCTCGTGCTCTTCTTCTCCGTCGACGTTACGGAGGGGGCCATCAGGGAGTACCAGTTCGATGTAAGCATGCATGTCTGCATGTGTGTGTGTGTGTGTGTGTGTGTGTGTGTGTGTGCGCGCGCGCGCGCGCGCGCAACAAGCAGAGCATATGCCTCCTCCATCAATGACTAGTAGCTCATTAGTAGCGTTAGTTACATGCAGTTGCAATCTTAGCAATGCATCTAATAATTAATTAACGTTGCGACGGTGATGCATGCAGGTGCAAATGACGAATGTGACGCGGCTGTGCAGCAGCAAGAGCATCGTGACGGTGAATGGTCAGTTCCCGGGGCCGACGGTGTTCGCGAGGGAGGGCGACTTCGTCGTCATCCGCGTCGTCAACCACGTCCCCTACAACATGAGCATCCACTGGTAATGTGCACTGTACTGCGTGCATGCACCATCGATCTCATCGTGTAACAGCACGAAACGAATCAATACACATTGACTGTGTGACCGGCGGGCGACTGATCGCCGGCGCCGGCGCGCATGCAGGCACGGCATCCGGCAGCTGCGGAGCGGGTGGGCGGACGGTCCGGCGTACATCACGCAGTGCCCGATTCAGAGCGGGCAGAGCTACGTGTACAAGTTCACCATCACGGGGCAGCGCGGCACGCTGTGGTGGCACGCGCACATCTCCTGGCTGCGCGCCACCGTCTACGGCGCCATCGTCATCCTGCCCAAGCCCGGCGTCCCTTACCCGTTCCCAGCGCCCTACAAGGAGGTCCCCGTCATCTTCGGTGAGTGGTGGACGGCGGACACGGAGGCGGTGATCAGCCAGGCGCTACAGACCGGCGGAGGCCCCAACGTCTCCGACGCCTTCACCATCAACGGGCTGCCTGGGCCGCTCTACAACTGCTCTGCAAAAGGTTAGATGCATGCATGCATGCGACGACTACACCAACAAACATGCATATACTACTAGTTGATGAGCTAACGGCCGGCCGGTTTGCATTGTTTTATCGAGTACTAACTCATATTAGTATATACTTATGATGATGCAGACACGTTCAAGCTGAAGGTGAAGCCCGGGAAGACATACATGCTCCGCATCATCAACGCTGCGCTCAATGACGAGCTCTTCTTCTCCATCGCCGGCCACCCGCTCACCGTCGTCGACGTCGACGCAGTCTACATCAAGCCCATCACCTTGGAGACCATCATCATCACCCCTGGGCAGACCACCAACGTGCTCCTCACCACCAAGCCGTCCTACCCCGGCGCCACCTACTACATGCTGGCCGCGCCCTACTCCACCGCCAGGCCGGGCACCTTCGACAACACCACCGTGGCCGGCATCCTCGAGTACGAGGACCCCACGTCCCCTCCCCCGCACGCGGCCTTCAACAAGAACCTCCCGGCGCTGAAGCCGACCCTGCCGCAGATCAACGACACGAGCTTCGTCGCCAACTACACGGCCAAGCTCCGCAGCCTGGCCACCGCGGAGTACCCGGCGGCCGTGCCGCAGGAGGTGGACCGGCGGTTCTTCTTCACGGTCGGGCTGGGCACGCACCCATGCGCCGTGAACGGGACGTGCCAGGGCCCCACCAACAGCAGCCGGTTCGCGGCGTCCGTGAACAACGTCTCCTTCGTGCTCCCGACGACGGCGCTGCTGCAGTCGCACTTCGCCGGCAAGTCCAAGGGGGTGTACTCGTCCAACTTCCCGGCCGCGCCGCTGGTCCCGTTCAACTACACGGGGACGCCGCCCAACAACACCAACGTGGCCAACGGCACCAAGCTGGTGGTGCTGCCGTACGGCGCCAGCGTGGAGCTGGTGATGCAGGGCACCAGCATCCTCGGCGCCGAGAGCCACCCGCTGCACCTCCACGGCTTCAACTTCTTCGTGGTTGGCCAAGGGTTCGGCAACTTCGACACCGCCAAGGACCCGGCCAAGTACAACCTCGTCGACCCCGTCGAGCGGAACACCGTCGGCGTGCCGGCGGCCGGCTGGGTGGCCATCCGGTTCCGCGCAGACAATCCAGGTGAGGTCGACTTTGTTAAGATCCAATCATATAGTGACATACTAACTGCAACAGATCAGCAACGATCTGATGAGCAAGCAGGGAAATTCAAGGTTACTTTGGTAGGGATAACCCAAGCTTCGTGGAGAACTAATCTTGACCGCGTGTGCGTGTCAATCTGTTGCACGTGTGCAGGGGTATGGTTCATGCATTGCCACTTGGAGGTTCACGTCAGCTGGGGCCTGAAAATGGCATGGCTGGTGCTGGACGGAGACCGCCCCAACGAGAAGCTGCTGCCTCCGCCGTCTGATCTCCCCAGGTGCTAAACGAGACGACACGAGGAATTGCTGCTCTGCAGGTCGCCATCAACGGCCGTGATTGATTGGGCCCGGCCATCTTGGAACAGGGATTGCGTGCTCTCTAATTTGCATAGGATATCTTAATCATCTTTTGCTTGTGCTGGGGTTGGTGTTATGCGATGCTTTCACTTAGCGGTGTGCTTTTCCGGGTTGAGTCGTCATCTTGTTAGCTGTGTGAGTGAGAGTCACGGGCAGGAAGGTTCATACTACTTACTCAGTTTGTATAAGGCAAACGCCATTTATTTTTTGATTGCTTATGATTTACTACCATCTTTTGTAAATCAGATTCTTGTCGGAGAACGAGCTGGATAGTGTATCCAGGCGTGCCTCTCAAATAATATGTACTACCACCAGCATTGGAATTTAGTTTTGAAAGGATGGAATTTAGTTTTGAAAGGAGCATTGGAATTTATTGACGGAAAATTGTTATCACCGTTCAAATATCATCACGCTAGTCGGCTAGATACACCACTCCGCATTTCGAATCGTCTTGTGTTGCATGTCCTATCAATTGTTGTTATAAGTTCTCACTTGTTACATGTCCTATCTATTGTCGCGCTCATCCAATTTGCTACTTTCTCCATGTGTTTTGAGTGAAAAACCTAATAAATAGTCAAGATATGCCTTGAAAAAACAGTCCAGAGTCACGTATTGTTTACTCCCTCTAAATAGGTTTATTTCTAGCTCTGTTCAAAGACAAAATGTTTTAATTTAACAAAATGTCTAGAGAAAAGTATTCACATTTATAACATCAAATATGTGTACTATAAAAGCATATTAATTTTTAAAAGTAAAGTCCACCAAATTAACACCCCCATGAACTTCATATAACACCCCAGCTCGTTATAAACATGCAGTAGTTGGGTGTTGTTGGCCCACGTGGCATATTAAGAGTTGTAGTTGGTGTGTTTAGTACCATCTTAGAAGTTTAGGAGGATGAGAGTCAGCTTATAACCCTTGTCGTTCCAAACGTAGCACCACCCTCGGATTAACCCTTTTACACGAAGCGAGAACAAAATTGTAAGAGAGGTGTTACGCGTATGCAGGCCCGTTCCACGTGCTGAGCTAGGCCATATAAGAAATTTTTGGACGCGGGGTGTTATACTTCAACACCAAACAACAGGGTGTTATACTTCAACACCAAACTACATACACACCTTAACTTTTAAACTAGATATATAAATACCCTCTTCACATTTTAAAGTGATTTCTTGAGTGGTTTTGCTGATGTAGCAGTAGGCCCACATGTCCGGTGGTCTTTCTTTCTCTTATATCAAAAGGTCATAATTTTCTAATACTAGCAAACATACCCGTGCATTGCAACGGGTGTTAAAAATTATGAAATCCTATTCGCTTCATCTTGTTACACAACTGCAGCGGCCACGGCATCTTAATTTGGCTCTTTAGTATTATGTATAGATAGCTATGTAATTTTAATATCTTATTAAAATCGGTCTCCACGTGTCACCCCTTGTTAAAAGTTGCATGGGTATATTCGGATAGCTTAGAGATTTGTACTGATATGTGCGGACAACTTGGAGAAACATTTCTTTTTATTAGATTAGGCGACAAATTGCTCAAGATTTTAATTTTTGGTTTGATTATTTAGGCCATCAGCTAATTATTCATGTCATAATAATAATTTATTCTTCTTAACTAAAACCAACAACTTAGCAATAAAGTTATTTGTTTATTAAGTAAGGGTCAAAACTTCAAAGATCAAACCAAAGTTATTTCATTGAAAAATAAAAAATAAAAAATAAAAACACAAAAAGGGCAGCACGACAAAGGAAAATCACTCGACAACACCAGGAGGTGTGGCAGCACTTTTCTTGAGACCACATATGGGACCCAACCTATGAGCGGGAGAAGAAATAAAGAGAAAGCAGCGGGAGAAGGAACAAAGATGGAAACGGAAAAAGACACGGATACAACAGCAGTGATTAGGCTGGGCGAAAATTTAGAGGTGATAAAAATTTTATCTATTTATTATTAGGTATAGATATAAATATAAATTAGTCTTCGTCAAGGATAGTAGAGTGGTGTGATATTTTTGTTTTTTTTTCTCTTTTCGCTGTTTGGTTTTGCATTTTTATATACAAAGCTTTGCTCGTTGGACAGCATGCTGCCACACGGCCAGACCTATGTGGCCTCGAGGGTGCAACATGTGGCCCTGTCTAGCCAAACCGTGCGGCGCTGGTCCTGAACCAAACCCATGTACCGAAGGTTTATTATTACTGGAACAAAAACGGATCTGTACTTTGAGATATGTATACACGTAGGGCCAATTCTGACTGGAATTTGGAGTATACCACCTCCTTAGTCATTGTTTATAGGGATCCCTTGTTTATACGGTGCATGGACGTGCACATGCGTGGTGCGAAGTTTGGTCCAGTGTCCAGCGTAGACACGGTTTGCTCAGCGACCCACACGTTGTACCGTGATCTGGTTGTGCGCTGGCAAGGAATCTTTGGGATTACAGGTCTCAGAGGAATCTTGGTTTAGGAGTGTTACATGTAAAATCACGGATGACGGATGACTTATATAACACGATGTCTAGATCAAACGGTTATTATAGAAAAAGAACCCTCAAAAAAACTTGCTCTTTTTAGTGTGATGATGAAGTCGAATGAATATAAGCTTTATATAAAAATTGTAGAGCTTAATGTGATCTATAATTTTCTAGTTGATAAGTTTTTTATTTAAATCTTTTTAGATGCTCAAACCTTCGTTTTAAGTTATCATATTTTGAAATTAAACTTTTCAAAATTGTGAAATGATCTGGGACGTTGACATGGTCCATACCAAACTTGTGTCTCTCAATGAGATCTATAACTTTGTTATTGAATTTCTTACGTGAGATCGTTTAGAGGCCCAAATATTCATTTAAGTTCTTAGATTTTGAAATTCTTTTTTTTATTTTTTCAAAAGACCTTGGATGTTAACATGGTCAGATGGTTTATACCAAAGTTGCAGCTATAAATGTGATCTACAATTTTATAGTTGAAAACATTTTTATTTGAGATCATTTAGAGGCGCAAATATTTGTTTTATTTATCATATTTTAAAATTCATTTTTTAATTTTGCAACGACCTCAGACATTAACATGGCCTAAACTAAAGTTATAGATCTCAATGCAATCTATAATTTTATGGTTGTAAACTTTTTTATTTAAGATAGTTTAGAGGCCCAAATATTTGTTTTAAGTTCTATGATTATGATTTTTTAGTATTTTTTAAATTATCTCGGATGGAGACACGTTCTATATTAAATTTATAGTGCTTGAAGAGATCCAAAACTTTCTAGTTCACATCATTTTCATTTGAGATCATTTAGTATCCCAAATATTCATTAAAAGATGGCATGATAAACAAAACTAAAAACATGTGGAGTCCACATGCCACATCAGCCAAAACATCCATCAAAACCACTATGAAGTATGAACTATTTTAGGGGAAGGGGAGGTAGTTTGCCCAATTTTGAAAGTAAAGGAGGTAAGTTTGTGTGGTATATTCGAGTTAAGGATGTTTTAAAAATCAACGACAAGTCCAGGGCAAATCATAATTTACTCTTTTTTTAATGTATTTGGCATTACAAATATGATATTTTTCTTACAAACTTAATGGAACGCAAAATAGTCCAACTTAGGACAAAACTAAATATGCATTAACTGTAGGATGTAATTCTATATGCCTTTGTTCTTTTTCTATCCTTTTTTCCTTTTGTTCTATTCTTTGTGTGCCTAGGATGTGAGTCATCCTATTGGGCTTGCAACAAACATTTGTGTTTGCCTTCATACATGTAAAATTTGTCATTTTTATAAACTTCTCTAGTTTTGGTTTTACATCTCAACTTTTACATGGATGTGAGTACATATATGAATGCACTATGGACGTACGAAGTTTCAATTTTTTTTGAATACTCGATGTATGCTTTTTTAAATGGTTTGTATACTTACACCTAATATGTAGTTTGCACTACATAAATTCCCCCTCCCCCATCCTGAATTTCAAAAAAAAAAGTATACTTAGAGAGATGAACCTTTTGATTCTGCGTTGACACATGTTTATTTATATTTATAATTGCTAAAAATGTGGTAAATTATATTCTAGGCCACGAATATGCTACCACATCCAAACTGCAACTATAGGCTTCTCAAACCACACCTAAATTGATCTTTTAGTTTTGTACAATTGTGCTAATTATTATTGTTTTTACACCTAAAAACTATTTCATGACCTAAACATTCTACCTCAAACCTGTAGTATATAGAATAAATAATGATGCTGTGGTACTTCAGGAAATCAGATATATGGAGCCAACCCAATTGTGTGGCAGTCTAGCAGAGATTATCATTAGGGAATACTCAAGGCACATAACGCATACATATAAATAAAACTGGTCACTGTCATTTATCACCTTTTTGTTCAGTAGATATATATGGATTAATTACAAATAGAGCCATGAAACATTAATTGTGGCACGTTACATTTAAATCAGTAAATAATATAAACTTAGAGAGACGCCCCATCCCCACGTCGAATTGATAAAAGTAAATAAATCTAGAGACATTGACCTTATGAACCTGCATTGACTTTGGCTATACTAGTGATACAGAACTTCTCACTATACTAAATGGAGTCCCGGCCACATGAGTCTCCATGTAATCCTCATATAGACACACTATAAAAAGTACATACTAGATATTCTCATAAAAAATAGAATCATGCCATCAGTTCGATAAAATATAATCATCACTGAAAATGATAGCAATTGGATTTTACTTTTCCTTCTTGAAAGATACAAGCCTCGCATTGAAAACGACATAAATCAATCCCTAAATATGCGTCTAATTACTCACATTTAACATAATGAAAGATAATCTAAAGTAGTCTCCTAAATTTGCATTTACATTACACATATGTCATGATTTATAAATAAACTAAAATATCCCTCGAATATACATCTAAATAATCAACATATGTTACTGTAAAAGGTAAATAGCTAGAAAGTACACCTACATTTTTAAATTATCCACATCTACTACTATTAATATATAAGATACAAACTCAAAGTAAATGTGCATGTTGTATGCTACTATGGAGACTAAGTATACATATTACATACATTCATGGCAGCTAAATATATATTTCTTTAATGTAACAATCATAGAAAATGCTATAATCGCATACCATTGAACTTGAAATTTTATTTTATGTTAAATTAATTCTCCAAGACAATGAGTTATGCTTAACAAATCACATACTAGTGACACTGATGTTAAGTTAATTCTCCATGACAATGAGTTAAGAAAATTATTGTTTTAGATAAATGTACACATTTTGTTGAAACATTACAACATATTACATTGATAGTTTAATTTTAAAAACTATTATTTTAGAAAAAAAAAATACTACTACACTCATAAGTCCTAACTCTTTGATAGAGGAAAATGAACATCTTGATTCTGGAGGTGAAATAACTATGTATGCTATTGTAAATATGAAATAAGTATGTGATAGAGAACTTAAAATAGTTATTTTAACAAAATACAAAAGAATAATTTTGAATAAAGGGTACAATATGCACTATATTTTCACCATAACATATGTAAAAAATTGTAGGCATTAATAAGATCAAAATTTGAAATCCCGGATCTAGATTGATGACTTGACACATGGGTTGCAACAAAAGTTGACATAACTTAAACTACCATTTGAACTAATAAACAAACATTGAAGACATGGAGGAGATGCGATGCAAAGAGAAAAAAAAACTATAAATATGGATGAAACATATAAAATAATTGATAAGTTTATCATAACTCTATATATGGTTATTGTGTTGAAAATGGAGAGAGAGAAGCAACTTTGATTAGTTGTAAGTACTGAACTTACACAAACTTCTAATGTTTAAATTAATCTCAAGATTCTATCATGAGCACGGGTTTGTGGACTAGTGGTAGAAAAAAATAGGAAATTAATTGCAATCACATGGGTCTAATTGGTTGCTTGCATTAGACCTTACACAACATAAGCAATGCCGACGTAAACGTTTGTCGTTTCTTTTTGTTTGGTAGTTCTACTCAAACAAGCCACATTTGATAAAATTGTATTTAGTTCTTTATATTTGTTGCATGTAGTCACCTCTATGTTCTAGTTGAGATCTCAAATTTCTAGTTGAGGTATGGGGATGAGAATATTTTTATTTATGTGCACATCGGCTCATACAAACTTGCGTTGTCCAATATGACAAAATCTGGTGTACTAACTAATGCAGCATCCGATCTACTTTGAGCATTGTGCAAGCCTGCATAAGAGTCTATGCAACCAAACAAATACAAGCAAACTACACCACACAAGCCTAGATACAGGTTAATACATACAACCAATCAAAGTACGTGGTTATTTTATTTTAGGCCATGGATATGCTATCATACTTAAAGCGACTATAGGCATATGGGACCACACATGCCCCACTTTTGTGAAAAAACTGGGAAAATAATCAATATTGTGGTTTGTAAATATGCATTGACTATCATTGTTTTTACACCTAACAAATTATTTCATGACCTACTCTTTACCTCAGTATTAATGCATATGAATTAATGATAATGTGCTTGGGGATGCTTCAGAAATACGGCCCCAACCCAAAATCAACAAATTGTGTCACAGTCTTATAACGATCGTCGTTAGGAAATGTTAAGGAAAGTACTCGCTCCATCTCAAAATAAATAACTTTCTCTCTAAGGTTTAAAATTTGTCTAAAAAACAACATCCTGTAAAAATACAGGACAATGCCTCCTAATACAAAAGCTAATTACGGATGCATACAAACAATAATAGCCAAATTCACAAGATATCATCCAGAAAAGAAAAGAAGATGAGGGTACATGTGTCTTTTGCCATCGTCCTCAATCTGTCTAAAAATTTATAGAAAACTATTTATTCTGGGACATAGATAGTATGAAAATAGATGTAAACAAAATTGGTAATTGTCCTTCACCACCTTTTTGTTGATTACATATATAGATCACCGATAGAGACATGAAAATTTGAGGCAGTGGATATTATGTTACTTGGTGTGTTTTTAACAAACCAACACCGACAGTACACTCTAGAAGAAAATACAAGCAAATAGTCTTGGAAGACTAGTACTACCTATAGGAACAGAAAGAAAGAAAAAAGTTATTTTTGATTTACATGTATTAGCAATGATTATTTATGATTTTGAAAAAAAAACGAACTTGCATCGAAGAAATGCCTCAGGGACTCGATGAGTAGGGCCGGGAGAGTTGCAAGATCCAATTCCGTGCATGTCTTTTACATGTTACTGTTCGTGTTCCCTCCTTCGTTCTTTTTCAGTCAATAAAGTATGTGATGAGGAAACGTTGTATCGCTCAATCGTGTTGGGTCAAGCATCCTTCTCTCCGTTGGGAATTGTACAAGGAAAGATCGAAGACACGCTAAGACACCAACCATCATGCAGGTAGCACCTACTGGATAGATGCGTGTCTTGCTATCCATGGCAAGGGATCATGCATCCATTCTTAAACACACACCCCTACAGCAATCGTAGATTCACTGAACTTTAGGTGAAAACCCTGCGTCGACCGATTTCTGAACTTGCAGAAATGGGAACGTAGTAGGAAGTTACTTACCATGTTGGTGACAGCGACGACCATGATTACTTTTCAATTGAATCAATATTTAACAAGAAAAAAAAGTCCCCATTCCAAGAATTATTGGTGGCCCCGTGAATCATGCATTGTTTGTGTGTGAGGTTTTGATTAAGCTGCACAACCTAACTAGGAAGTAACATTCGCAGATAGTATCTAGAAGACCTGCTTTTCTTCTTTTTCTTGGTGCCAAAATCTAGATGGCACTGTCAAAATACAGGTGAACATGCTATTTTTCAACATCGAGGCCTGTGTGCAATCAATTTTGCTTTATTAAGTGTGAAGGATGATATATGATATTTGCTTCAAAAAAAATGATTTCCAATCGCTTGTAGAGCATATGTTATCTGTAGATTTTGACACTTGACCTCACTGATTTTGTTCAGGTTCTAAACCAGCAAGTACGGGTTAGGGACCAATGAACCATATGCATGAACACATTCAATTGTCAATATGTCCAATATATCAAGTGTAGGACTGACTGTCCTACTAGGACAAGATCTTTCGAGGAGCATGTATGCAGAGCAAGCTGTTCTAATTTCGCGGAAAATTGCGCTACAAGATTTTTTTCTATACGGTTGAGAATTCATAGCACAGTGTAGCGGTGATTTTCTTCATCATTACCATGGAGATCGACAACGGCTTTTTACTCTTTGTGCATACAGTTTACCTTTCGGTTTTCGGCAAACTTTTGCACCAGAAAAGGTCCGCGACGGCATGCAAAATCACCAGAATTAAAACTAGCGGCGCGATCCAGTGCATGCATGGTCAAAAGGGTTGGATCGTTGCCGCATACTTTGGCCACACTCTAAAGCTAGAGACCTCCAGCAGTCCAGCTAGCTCGAGCAGCTCGCCTGCCTGCCCTTGATCGTTCATCTACCGGATCACCAAACTTTTTATAGTTCTGCCCAAGCTGCGTTTCTGTCGACCATGTAGAAAGCCTAAGAAAATGGCGGTGGTAGTTGACATGCTACTAGCACATTGCTTGCCATGCCCTATATATGGAGAGGGGCCTCCGGTGGCTGTCCCAACACACACACACACACACACACACATTATTCCTCCATCTCTTCGATCGCCTGGTGGCCGTCTTGGTTGCCCTCTAGAGCTAGCTCAAGAGCAACTCCAGATAGCTGCTCATCGGAGCCTAGCTAGAGGTTTAACCATCAGCTAGTAGCGTGGCCATGGCAATCTCCTCTGCTCTTCCCTGCTCCCTCCTCATGGCGGCCCTGATGCTCCTCGCCTCCGTCGTCGAAGTGCAAGGCATCACGAGGCACTACGACTTCAATGTACGTCGTCGTTCAATCGAGTGTACCACATGTCTATACATCATGCTACGTACTTCTGCATAAAATGCATGCCTACAATATATGTTGATTACTTCTCAAGTATATGCATGCTCTTCGCATGTATGTGTGCGCAGGTGACAATGGCGAACGTGACACGGCTGTGCGCCAGCAAGAGCATCATCACGGTGAACGGGCAGTTCCCCGGCCCCAAGATCGTCGCGAGGGAAGGAGACCGTCTCGTCATCCGCGTGACCAACCACGCCCAGCACAACATCTCGCTGCACTGGTAAGTGATCGTACTCGTACCGGCGTCCGTGGAAGTCAAAAGTGCGCGCGTTGGTGCACCCACTTAGCACCACACAAGTACATACACCAGCAGAATTTCGCTAACTAATTCGAAGCTTCTTTTCGTTATTACATACCAATATAGCTTAATTATATACTATAATCTGCCTCTTACCGAACGACGAACGAACACGAAAGCTTTGCTGCATGCTGATCGTTGCTGCTGCGTGCGTGCATGCAGGCACGGCATCCGGCAGCTGCGCACGGGGTGGGCGGACGGGCCGGCGTACATCACGCAGTGCCCGATCCAGACGGGGCAGAGCTACGTGTACAACTACACCATCGTCGGGCAGCGCGGCACGCTGTGGTGGCACGCGCACATCTCCTGGCTGCGCGCCACCGTCTACGGGCCCCTCGTCATCCTGCCCAAGCTCGGCGTCCCCTACCCGTTCCCGGCGCCGTACAAGGAGGTCCCCGTCATCTTCGGTGAGTGTCGTTGGTCTACTTGCAGTTAGCTAGCTAGCTGGCCCCGCCGCCGGCCGGCCGCCGGCCGACGTGAACGGCCGAACGCCGGGAGAAAACGACCCCGCGCGTTGCTAGCTGTTGCTGGCCTGTATGTAATCCTGTGCTGATAATTTTGTGCGCGCGCGGTTGCATTCGATCGATCGCGAAATTGGATTGGTAGGTGAAGTGGTGGCTGGCGGACACGGAGGTGGTGATCAGTCAGGCGCTTCAGGTCGGCGCTGGTCCGAATGTCTCTGACGCCCACACCATCAACGGCCTACCAGGACCGCTCTACAACTGCTCTGCCAAAGGTACGGTACATTCCTTCTTTCTTTTTATTATTTATTTTTTTTTTTATTCGCAAGCGCACTAAGGTGATTGAGGTCTAAAAACTCACACACGCGCCTATACACTATACGTACACGTACGAGAGCTAGTGTTGCTGTGTTTTGAAGGATGAGGCGTTAGTTAGTTCTTATATATCCTAAGAGTTCTCGAAGCAAAGGGAACAAAAAACAAACGACGGAACGAGAGGTTACGTACCGCTCGAGTAGTCTTCCTAGTCAAGTCCTAACAGAAAGCGAAAAAGGTGACGTTCACGGGCGCTCTGTTTTCCCATTTTCCAAAAGCATGCATCTCTAAGTTTTCAAACGCAACCATAAATCAAAAGAGGCCTCGTTTTCACGAAGGTGGTGAGTTGTTCAAATCACCAAAGCAGGTGAGAAGATTCCGAGTTCCTTTCTGGAAACGGGATCGATATCTTTCAACTGGCTGTGGCGCCCCTGTGTGGGAATGTTCGCACGACGTCGCTGTCATGGGATCCAATCCCACTCGTACTTGACCTAACACATCCGGTGGACTTAAGCAACCTAGCTTAGCTTGCCGGCGGTGGGTCCCGCGAGGCCGGTGTTATTACGTAAACAAAATCTTAGTTACGCCTCCGGCTCCAGATAGGTGTACTTTCTCATTCCGTCGATCGCCGTCGTCGATGTCTATTCCGAAACGTTCCACTCACTCACCGTGTGTGTGGCCTGCATGCATCTGTGGCACGCGCGAACGCACGCAGACACGTTCAAGCTGAAGGTGAAGCCAGGGAAGACGTACATGCTCCGCCTCATCAACGCGGCGCTCAACGACGAGCTCTTCTTCTCCATCGCCAACCACTCGCTCACCGTCGTCGAGGTCGACGCCGTCTACGTCAAGCCCTTCACCGTCGACACCCTGCTCATCGCCCCGGGCCAGACCACCAACGTGCTCCTCGCCGCCAAGCCGTTCTACCCGGGCGCCAACTACTACATGTCCGCCAGGACCTACTCCACCGGTAGGCCGGCCACCTTCGACAACACCACCGTCGCCGGCATCCTCGAGTACGAGTACCCCGACGCGCCCTCCTCCGCGGCGAGCTTCAACAAGGCCCTGCCGCTCTACAGGCCAGCGCTGCCGCAGCTGAACGACACCAGCTTCGTCGGCAACTTCACGGCCAAGCTCCGCAGCCTCGCCACGCCGCAGTACCCGGCGGCGGTGCCGCAGACGGTGGACAAGCGGTTCTTCTTCACGGTGGGGCTGGGCACGCACCCGTGCCCCGCCAACACCACGTGCCAGGGCCCCACCAACACGACGCAGTTCGCGGCGTCCGTCAACAACGTCTCCTTCGTGCTCCCCACCAAGGCGCTGCTGCACTCGCACTTCACCGGCCTGTCCAGCGGCGTCTACGAGTCGGACTTCCCCGTCGCGCCGCTCACGCCGTTCAACTACACGGGGACGCCGCCCAACAACACCAACGTGGCCAACGGGACCAAGCTCATGGTCATCCCGTACGGCACCAACGTGGAGCTGGTGATGCAGGGCACCAGCATCCTGGGCATCGAGAGCCACCCTCTGCACCTGCACGGCTTCAACTTCTTCGTCGTCGGCCAAGGGTACGGCAACTATGACCCGGTGAACGACCCGGCTAAGTTCAACCTCGTCGACCCCGTCGAGCGCAACACCGTCGGCGTGCCGGCCGGTGGCTGGGTGGCCATCCGCTTCCTTGCCGACAACCCCGGTAAGATCATTCTGATCGGTTCACAATGCACGATGGCTCCTGTCCTGTATAAGATCCCAGGAAACAAGCTCTGCGTGCCTTTGTCTTACACGTGTGTGCTCTATGAATGTGCAGGGGTATGGTTCATGCATTGCCATTTGGAGGTCCACACGACATGGGGCCTCAGGATGGCGTGGTTGGTGCACGACGGCAGCCTCCCGCACCAGAAGCTGCTCCCGCCGCCGTCCGATCTTCCTAAATGCTGATTAGACTCCTCCCCCCCTCTCTCTCTCTCTCCTGCCGGTCGCTTCAAAGGGAATTGTGAATTAGACTTGATCACAAATGTTGATTTTTTTTTTTGTTTACTTTCTTCATTGCCAATTGCAATTCTTTCAACTTCCATTTAAACTAGTCCGTTCCTAGCTGACCTGGACTTTTTTTGTAATCTTTTCTCCCATTTGATTGCCACACCCTGTAATGACAAAATGTTTTTGTCCACTCTTTTGAGAATAAAGAATGGCGTGACTTGCACCGGATCCATAGAATTTCATCTGTCTGCATTGTTCCAGCTGGTTATTTATTTCGAGGTGGCTTCTCTAGGATAGAAGAGAAAGGTGTTACTTAAGTACGGGCCACTTTCTGTATTACTACCAAACTCTTGAAAGGTGCTAATGACCTTTCAAAGGGTTTAATAATACAGAAAAAGATCCATTTTGATTTTATAAATTTGCTATAAAGGTACGAAATAGTTAGGTAAAACCAGGAAAGTGATCTTATCACGTGATCAAGCCACTCACCTATAGGAAGGGTCCGGAGTATAACACCATCAATTTTGTAATACTTGTTAATCCCTTTTGTGAATATCAACTTGAAGTCGATATAGTGATTTGGCTACTGCATGAAGTACGCAACCAATCAATTCGTAAAGAGGCATACTAACACGCTGAACCAATAGCGCCGCCGCCGCCGTCGCCTCGGCATCCACCACCGTTGGTCCCCCTTCCTTCTCCCTCCGGCGTCTCGCCGAAGGCCGGAGGGAGTGGGAATCCATCGTTTTTTACAAGTTTTCTAGTAGATCAAGTCATCTAGGGTTAGAGTCTCTCCATGCCAAGTTTTTTTTGGTACCGGGGTTTTATCTCCTCCTCTCCGGCGACGACGAGGGTGCGGGGTGGATTCGTTTTCTCCATGGCGGCTCTGTTGAAGATGAGGGCGACATTGGTGTCAGCAACTTCATCGGCTTGACAACATGGAGACTTGGCTTTCCGAACGGCGACATCAAAGGCGGAGATGATGTCGTCGTCATGGAATAATTTTCTCCGGTCTCTTCTCTGTTTTATTGTGGTTAGATCTGGCCATAATGAAGGACTAGGGAGAATAAGTTTCAGATCAGTCTTTCTTATTCTTCGGTGGCAGAAAAAAGAAGAAAGACACAAGAAAGAAGAATAACTTCATCTGCAGGAATGTTGGCCATCGTTTGTTGGGCATATGTTCTCAGGCCTTTTGCCGAGTGTTGTTTGTCTGTGCGGTCATCTATATGAATCGTCATACATGTTTGGAGTTGAGATTTTGGGCTATACAAAGCATGGGTACAATTTAGATGATCAGGTTCTGGATATACGTAGTGTATTCCAGTGTGCTTATAACGTGATGATGTACTCAGCTATGATCTAATGTAATTCTTCTTTCGTCTAAAAAAACACGCTGAACTTATAGATGCATGCAACCAAACCTACTCCTTGCAGAGGAAAACCAACAGTATGCTAATCCACCTCCCTTACAACAGGCTAAATATTGTTGCCATCTTCATCCTTTCATAATGATGGCGCGCAAATTAACATCTATAAGAATGACATAATCTTAACAGAGAGAGCCAGATTTCAATAAAGCAGGCTAGTTTTTAGTCTAATCTGTCCTGACCGCTTGACAGCCTGATGGGGGCGAAAACTTCAGCTCTGCCTCTTGCCACAAATAACATCGTTTTCAACCTCAATTTTATATAGAGAAAGTGGAGATGTCTGTATTGGGGGTTTAAATAGCTGCGTCCATTTGAATAAGTGCGCTAAGATCAAAGTACTACCTTCATTTCAAATTATAAGACGTTTTGAGTTTTTCTAGATGCATTTATTATGCACTTAGATATACACTATATCAAGATACACAGTAAAAGCAATGTATCTAAAACCGCCAAAACATCTTATAATTTGAAACAGATGGAGTATTTGTTTATCGAAGTGACTACAGCCAATTCATTGTAAACTTACTGAAATTTCTGCACTTAGACTATTGTTTATTTCCTGGTTTTAGTATGACTCTTTTTTCATATAGAGAATCAATATAACATTATGGGCATGTTCGCTTGTCTGAATTTTAGAGGAATCTGGATGGTTTGGAGGAATGCTGGAGGAATTTGTGAGAGAAAAACATTGTTCCGGATGTTAATTCACAATTATAATGCTTAAGGGGTTGTTTGGATCTCCAATTTTTTGAAAAAAAACTGACTTCCATAAAACTTGTTTTTATTGTAACCGACTCTAAAATCTTGCTTGGATCACCAAACAGACTCCTGTGGAAGGAAAACCTAATTTCTACAAAACTGAAAAAGCGTGTATTAAGAAAAATGACTTCCGAACATTTTTGCGAGAAACAATATTGGATAAATACAATTTTGATGGGAGTGAATATCTTTTCCCATCATCCTGCTTTTGTGGCCGATAGGATCCAAACACATCTTTAACAAAAAAAAATCACGCTAACAGACCTACCTATGAACCGTTTTCCTAAAAACATAAATAAAACACATTTAACTAAAACCTATTTATATTTTAGAGATCCAAACAACCACTACAAGTGATTGGAAGGCTGAGTTGTGCAATCATACCATTTGATCTCCAACATGAGAAGGATAATATGTTGAGTTAATATGCTTAATAAGAAAATGAATTAATAAACTACTGGCTAGTGGCTAATTAAATAGATAACAAAAAAAACCTACTTTCTAAGTCATGAAATATAAGGGATCCAAATTGCCCTAAGTCAAACTATGCACAATTTGACCAAATTCATAAAGAAGAGTATTAATATCTATTACATAAAAAATGTGAATTACGAAAATATGAGCCCATTTGGTTCCCTGCCACGGTCAGCCACCCCATGTGCCAGAGTCTATATAGAACTTCCTATGGCAAGCTGTGGCGAGCAAAAAGCACGCCACACCTGTGGATTCTATACAAAAGTCTGTGGCGTGAGAAAGTAAAATACTCAACCAAACACTTGCCTTTAGGGTGTGACAGCCTTCATTGTGGCGTGGATCGCCGTGGCGTCCAACCAAACACACCCTATATTTTATAACATATCAATGATGCTAATTTGATGTCGTAATTATTATTCTTTTTTCTATAATTTTGGTCAATGTTAATATAGTTTGACTTAGGGCAAACCTAAACCCCTTGTATTTCAGAGGGAGTATGTTATCGGTTGCTACAATGACCTTTAAGTAATGACAATAGCCTAGTTCGTTCAACTGAAATTTGGCTTACGCTGCTGCTTATGCTGATTTGTTGTGAGAAAAAAAAATGCTTCCTTCGCTAAAAAGGTACTGCTGAAGTAGTGTTGAAGAACAGGACGAATGGTTTTGGTACTTTTGACCCAATAAAAAATGGCGTGACTTGCACCAAGTCCATAAAATTTCACATGTATCTTCTTTGTTAAGGCTTACTTTAGAGGTGGTTTCTCATGGTAGAAGAGGAAAGTATTATTTAAGGAGTAGAAAGCAATGAGCACGGGGACTCTTTCTCTATTATTGAACTTTGAAAGGTGCTAAAGACCTTCCAAGGGATTAATGCAGAAAATGACCAGTAGACTTTAGTATCAATTAAAACAAGTGTATATCTTGTCGTGTGATCAAGACTTTTCCTTATTGGAATGGGTCAGGAGTATAACATTATCGATCTGTAATAACTAGTATTAATACATTCTGAATGTCATTATGTCAACAAAAAAAATGGGTTTTAAGATTTCGCTACTACAAGTCTGCAACCAAACAATATAATTCGTTCAGAGGGGCATATACTAACAGGTTGAACCAATAGATGCAACCAAAGCAACCCCTTGCAGAAGAAAAACGGCAGTATGCAGCACTAATCCACCTCCCTTCCAACAGGCTATATGTTATTACGACCAAAATTTTCACATAAGGGATAACAGGCTTAGCTAGATTCCAACCCTGCTTGCCAGTTTAATTTGGTGCCTTTGCCAAATCATGAAATGGACTTTACCATTACATAGGTCTCGTCGAAACGATCATTCTATATAATCCACACGTGAGAAAACTGGCTAAGCCATCTTTCAAAATCAGCTAAGCCAAATTTTCGAGTTAGGATTGTAATTTGACATGATTGTACGGGATTCGAGTTTTATCCAAGGTAAGATCTCTCTAACCTAAAATAAAGGGAGACAGCCGATTGAGGGTACCCAATTGCATCTATCAAGTAGTTTATCCTTTTATCTTCTTTTACCTTTTCCAACCCAACGCGGGTGGTGATCTTATTTGTCTCCATGGCATTAGGATATGCCCTAGCTGGCCTACCAAAGCCTAGGGCACACCGGCATGCGCTTGCTCCGACAAGGTCCCTTCCAGGTGTGCATTCAGTAGACTGACAGACAAACTAATCTTAAAATCCGTCAAAGGCTGGTTACAAAACAGGCTAAGCCCGATTTCGCAGAGGCGCTGCATGGGGCCCTTTGCGATTTGCACATGACGTGCTCGTGGTCGTGGGATGGCGTGTTTTAGCGTCAATACACTTTTTGACAGCTCCACTTAGACGAAGGTGTTTCGGTATTGATGGCCAAAATCAACTCGAGCAGTATGTTGTCGTTTGAAGAATTACCTGAAGAACTAGATCAAGAGCATATGCGAGAATTTATGCAGGCAACTGAAAATTGCTTCGTCCTGTTACCTGGAAAAAAAACCAACAAGGCATCGTTAAGTTAAAGGGATGACTATGTGTGTGATCCGAATTTCTTGTTCATTCTAGAAGGGAGCTGTCTCTAGTGTAAAATTTGAATCTGAGCAAAGCGTCCAAGCCGTATTCACGACTCAGCCATCTCCGCAAAGGCGCAAAGCTTCGATTCAGTGTAATTCATTCAGAAGAGATTGACAGCGAGGTGAAAGAACACTAACCTTCCAGTTAATGCAGGAGGCAGTATTAGCTAAGACCGGTGGAGTCTCTAGTTATCTGTCATCAGATTTTGTGTGGTTAAATCTGTC